CAACTTTCCTCTGCCTGGCCTTGCAAACTTAAAAGAGAGGCCATATATCTTCTCCAGAGTATCTTCTTGGAATAGTAGACAAGGAGAATTAGGGAAAAATAGCCCAAGCTAAAATTAGATATATAGTTATAAAATCATAGACCTAGGGTATAAAGAGTTTTAAAGATTTTCTAGTTAACTACACACTAACTCACACATTCCGACTGTAACATTACAGATAATGCATCTCTTTTTGAGCAGTTCTGGCAACAGGGAATCCAAAACTTCCTACAATAGCCCGGGCCAGTCTTGGATAGTTCTGGTTGTTAGAAATTGTTGTGAGAAACTGCATTTTCTGTACTTTTCACCTAGTAATGCTTGCTTTGTCTGGTAGAGTAACTCCAATCCTTCTTCACATGCTGGAACTAAAACTTGTAGGCACCTATTATGGTCTTTTCAAAGCTCAACATCCAAAGTTTCCAATTTTTGTTTTATTTAGTTGGTTTCAAGCCTCTTAACTCTGCTAGCCGTTCTTCTCCAAGAAAGTTTCCACTTGTTAATATTTCTCCATGTGTTACCCATCATGGTCTAATCAGCACAAGAAGGAGCGAGATCTCCCTTCTCTTATGACGGACTCATTATCTCTGACAGCAGAGCTTAGAATCACATTGGCTTTGGGATTCACAGTCAACTGAACACAAGTCTACTGCTGCCCCTTTGGACAACTGGTTATTAAATGCAACCAACTTCAATTGTCTACCCTATGTCACAGCTCCAAAGTGTTAACGGGCAAAGCAGTCTTGGCTGGGGCTTTTCGATGACATCAGAGGACAAGCAGAGCCTGCTGGACAGAGGACAGTGCGGCTTCGCACAGTAAGCCCGGGACGGTCACTGTGGACTGTAGCCCCATCACAAGGCAGATGGTAAGACTCAGCTTTGCGCGTTCCCCACCAAGAAGGGGACCCAAGAACCGAGGGCTGTAACTGTAGGTTGAAACTTGGAGATTTCTTTCTGCAGAGCCAGGCGCCAAGACAAGGGACTGAGGAGTCATTCCAGGGGTCAGTCCCAAGAGGAGCCAAGGAATGAGATAAGAGATGTCACGCTGGTTACACTGACCACAAAACAAAACAGACCAAGAGCCTGGAAGGCAAAATGGTTTCTGGTGGTCTGTTCAGGGAAAATGGTGGAAGCTGAGTTTTTAATCACTCAGGCAACGTTTTCCTGGCTTCATCCCATCTGCTCTTTCAAGAAGCTAGAGAGGGTGTTTGTCAGTGTGAACTAGGGCAGGTCCCCCCCCCCTGGAAATTTATTAAAGTTGGCCCATTGTTTGTCTCAGGCTGAGAAGATCTGGGGCCTGAAATCTGTTATCTGTCCCTCCTAGTTTCCTGTCATCTGCTGATTTGCATCACTGTCCTCATCTAAGTCATGCAAATATTTAGCAGAGCAGGCCAAGGACAAACAGTTCTATGGCACAGTATAAAAACCTCCCTTCAGGTGACAGCCATCTATTAATCACAACTCTGTGAGGATAGCGTCCAAGTGCTTATTAATCTATTTAACAATACCAGCATTTAACTCAAATTTCTCAGTCCTGTTCATGAGGATCTAATGAGAGACCCTGTTGAATGCCCTGCTGAAATGTGATTTATTATGTGCCTTGCAATTCTCTGTGCCAAGAGCAGAATGAAGGTCAGACTGGCACGGTTTATTCTGAGTGAACCCATACCGACTCTTGGTGATCACTGCTTTTGTTTCAAAGTATGTCCATAAAGCATTTCCTTTGAAACCCACGTTCACATTGTTCTAAAGGTTATCATCAATCCTATTGGTCTTCAGTTTATAGAATCATTTTTCTACCCGTTCTTGAAAATTGGGAAAATATTCAATCCGCTCCAGCCCAGTGAGACTTCTCTTATTCTCTGTGGTTGTTCAGAAGTTTTTATAGCATTTCAGCTCTTGTTATTTCTGCAAGACCCTAGTGATGTAACTTGTGCAGATCCAGGGACCTGAACTTGCTGAGAGCAATGAGGTGTGTTAGACCCAGCTTGGGCTTCTCTCTTACAATGTCTGGGCTGGTAGGTTTTCTCTCTTCTAATATGAAGGTCTATCTCCTTGAAATAGGCTAAGAGGAAAAAAAAAAAAACTGAAGCCAAGTAGTTCTGTTTCTATCGATGATCAATTAATATGAGCTTCCTTATATGATCAGTTAACTTCCTTATTCTTCTTGTATTTTATATTCCCTTTAAAAGTCTTTTTTGTTGTTACCATTGGCACTTATCAGAGCTAAAACCCAGAAAATTGCTCATAACAGTACTTATAAGTGTCTGACACCATGCTGAGTCTTTTTTTTTCATAATGGTTGAATTTACTCCAGAGCCATCCAATCATCGTGAGACCCAGCTCTATGTAGCCCCTGACTTTGGAGGTCTGGAAGATCCTAACCCCTGCACAGAACATGCACAGCTTTTCTACAGCTACTGCCATCATTTGCTTAAGCTAATGTGGGTGGGTCTTAGTTCTTTGTAATAACCAGGAAGCCTAACCAGAACCATTCATCCATCCAATGAGACTCCGGAGAGCACTGCGTACCAGGGACCCCTGAAACAGTCCAAGAGGAGGATCCTTCCCTTCTCCTTGTTTTGGCATTTCTCCTTTTAACAGTTCCACGATTCAGGATTTGATTACCCTTAATCTCTTCATTACTTTAGTATTACTTGACTCCCATTTTACATAATTTGGTTTATCCTGTCCAGGACACCTATGTCCTTTCATGAGTGCCTCATGTTCTATATCTGAGCTGCCCTGTGTGGTCGCCACTAGTTACATGTGGCTATCTAAATTTAAATAATTAAAATAAAGTAAAATTTAAGATCTAGTTCCCTAGTCACACTCCTGACATTTTCAGTGCTCAACAACCATGTGACTAGTGGCTTCCGTATCAGACAGTGCAGATGTACAGCATTTCCATGAGCACGAAGTTCTCTTGGACAGCGTTGGTCTAGTTATTCCTCAGGCCCTTTGACGTTCTTCCCAAGCACCAAGGCTGGATGGGTTGGGCACAAGCAGAGTTGGCAGTGTTGCTGCCTGTCCCTGTCCGGAGGGTTTTATGGCTGTGGACTCCTGAAGCTGTCACATTTAAGGTAGTCCCGGGGCTTGGTTTAGGCACTCCCACTGAGGTAAGTGATGACAATGCACATCAGTTTCTTTGTTCCCTAAGGAACCACAGTTTGCAAATGAATGTGAGCAAATACTTCCCAGATCCCATTGACAGTCATTGCAATGGTCACACCTAACATAATGCTGGCACTTGCAGACACTCAAAATGCTTGCTTGCATGAGGAGATGAGTGGAGAGTGGGCTCTCTAGACCCTGCAACGCTTTCGCGAAAAGCCAAAGAAAAGTACCATGGGGGAAGGAAGGAAGGAAGAAAAAGAAAGGAAAGAAAGAGAAAGGAAGGAAGGAAGGAAGAAAAAGAAAATAAAGAAAGAAAGAGAAAGGAAGGAAGAAGAAAAAAAGGAAAGAAAGAGAAAGGAAGGAAGGAAGGTTCCACTCACCTACGGATTTCTCACCTAGGGATTTCTCTCCTCTCCATCTTTATTTCTCTGCTCCTGGGTCAGACTCTTAGGGGTGGGCTGGAATGCAGGTTCCAGAGGAAGGAAGTAGGGAGAGAAGGAAGTTTTAAAAAAAAGCATTGCAGAAGAGGGAGAGAGTCACAGCCTTTAATAACGTGGAAGGACTGCAGGGTCCATTTAGCTTAACTCCTCATGTCACCGATGAAATATGGACATTTCATTTGGCATTTAATACAAATCTGCTGAAAAAAATGAAGCAATTGAGATCGAAAGACATAGGTTAAGCGACTTGTCTAGGGTTACAAAGCTAGTGAGTGTCGGAGCAGGGGCTAGAAGCCAGCCCACCTATCCTGTGATTCCCCCCTCCCCCCAACACCGCGGGCTCTACCCACCCCCTCCCTCGCCCCAGGGTGGCTGAGGAGGGAGGGAGAAGAAAGGGGGAGGGGAGGGAGGAGTGGGAGGCAAGCTGGGGAGAAGGAGAGAAAGTAAATTTGTGTGTCCGCTGTCAGCCTCCCTTGTGACTTCCTTTAAGCAGGAGAAAGTTTCACAGCCGCTTCACCTTCTCCGTGTGAACTCGGAGGTCTCCCCATCCCCACGGAGATTCCTAACTGGCAGGGACCACAGCTAGCGGTGACCCTGGGCGAGGTACCGCTTGACTAACTTAACTCCAACAGGTTGCACTCAGTTCAGTAATCGCTTGTCCCTCATCAGCGTGGTCCAGATCCAGACTGATTTCCGAAGCGGCTCTGCGTTCCTGAGATTTCACTGACCCTAGAGCGCAAAAAACACACTGAAACAGACTTCGTCGAGGATTTAAAACAGAGCACTCGAGGGACTTTATCACAACACCTCCCCTCATCGATCCAAGATAATGAAGACCTAGAGCAGGTTTCTGAAAATGTTTCACAGTCCCTTTACTTCTGGGCTCTAGAAAACTCTCCAGGTCAAGAACTGTGGCATCTGGGTATGGAGCTGGAGGTCACAGAGATCTGGTTTCACATGCAAGCTGCCCCACGGTTTGTTAGCAGACGAAGGGGACTTATTTTCTCAGATCCCATTTAGATGATAGGAACACGCCATGGGAGCACCTGAGCACTGTGATGGCAGCCCCCATTATTCCGTGGGACCAAGCTGCCTGGGAGACGCCACGTGATCAGCACCAATTGATCACACGCTCCTTACCTGCGTGGCTCAGGGTGAGAAGACCTGGCTTGTGGTCCCAGCACCCTTGCTTTGCAGCAGTACGACCTTGAGGCCAGTTCCTTGATTTCTTTCTATCCGAGTTTCCTTATCTGTGTCATAGGGTTTCTCACTGTGTCCTCACAGACGTGAGGATAAATTGAGGTCATGCACGTCGCCGGCGCAGCACAGAGCCTGGCACTTGATCAACATTCGCCCTCATTGTGATTTCCTAATGTCGCATGATTTCTTTGTGTACATTGTGTGGTCCTTGGGGGCACCAAGAAGTGGCTTGAAAATTCCCGGCTCAGAAACATCTGCCAAGTGGCAGCATTCACACCACACTTGCCGTCAACGTCCTCGCTCCTCCTCCGCAGCTTCAGCCGGGCCAAGCGAGGTGAGCGTCGGGTTTTATGGGTCTGACGAAGATGTTTGAAATATTGTAGGAGACTGTCAGAGAATACTTAGACCCACTCCGAAAGAGGGCCGGTCTTAATTTTCATCTTTCCTGCAAGTCAGGAAGATATATACTCTCCAAATAATGGCAGTTTCCTCGTCCTGAAGTTATGGCAGCTTGGTGATACAATAAACAGCACCCTGTCATAAGGACCACATAAAACATGGTCTGACATTTCTTTAAAAGTAAAAAGAAACACGGCTGCAGCAGATGACCCCTCCTCCGAGGGCACAGCTGCTTTGTGTGGTTAGAGGGACCCGTGGTTTCGTACTTAGGGGCTACGATATACGGCTGGCTTTTCACAAAGTGTTTTCATGAGAAATTACAGTACGTTCTGAAGGCCAACTCCACTGCATTCACGTTAGGTACGGGGACTTTTTTTTTTTCCCCTCTTGATGTTTTCCAAATGATACTGTACTGAATACCTGCGATTAGAAACGTCTTTAATATATGAAGTGTAAGCAGGACTGAGGTATCTTCTGTTTCCTGGGAGATGGAAATTATGGGCCTTTTGTGGGGTCAGTGGGTCAGCATCTTCGAGGACTCAGCATTTTATAAGAAGTCACTCAAAACACAGTCCTTCTGTGGGTGGGGATTGAGAGCCTCTGTGCAAATTTTAAAACAGTTGCTTTGTTAGACATAGGAGGTGATTTCCATTTTCCTGCAAAATGTTCCTCCTGTAAAATGTTATTTGTGCAAATGCATTAAAATGGTGATGAAGAAGTAAAATAAGGGGTTTAAATTTTCTGACTGTACGTGTGTTAATGTTGGTGAGACTGGATGTTTTCTTTTCTTGCTTGTTTTCCGAATTTTCTTTTAACATGTTTTATTTACTCCATCATGAAATGGAAAAGAAAGGTTATATCTTCATTTAACTTTTGACTGAGTTACCCCTAGGCATAGATGGTTACTGCAAACATTCCTATTAAAGCACTGGACACCGCCCCCAACTCCCCAATCTGTATCCTCTAAATTAGAATAATAAGTCCTTTGAGAGGGGAGTTTGGCAGCCTCTCTGCAGGATGGGGGGAGTGTACGCCAATCACTGATGGCCGTCATGCCAACAGAAAAATGTGCTCCCGTTGCTTCCACCCCAAACCCCGCGCCGACCTGCCAACATCGGGGCATTGAGCGCAGGTCTCAGTATGGTGGGAGATTTGTTCTGATTTATCTCTGCTCTCTCACCTTGCCCTCTGTGTGACCAAACCTAGACATATGCAAAAATGGCTGGCTTGGTTTAGAAGGTACAAACCAAGACCCCGAAACAGTTGACTTATTGGTAATTAGACCACACTGGTATTGAACCCATGACCTCAGCCTCATTAGAGGTGCGTTCGGGCCAACTGAGTTGACCAGAAACAGATTCAAAACAGTGAGTGATAGAGGTCTCTGGTGCAGGGTCAAAGGCCTGTTTACACTACCCAGTATCGTAAGTGGATTCTTACTCTACCATATTTAAGGAGCAGCAGCTGAGGAAAGCAGCCACGGGGATGGGTCCCTGTTCTCTGCTTCGTATACTTGGACTGCACAGCATGGCTGTTCTGGCCAACTTCCACCTTCCTTGAACTGGGTCTCCATGTAATTCAAGGGTTAATAAAGAGAGAGAAAAGCGTTTTAACAGGGCTTTTTTCTCCCCCCTCTTTCAGTTGCTAATGGCCAATAGTAACAACAAAAAAAACTGCTAGCAGTAAAGCCCTTTACTTTAGGAATGATTTCCTCCAAATGACACTCTTTGATTTAAAAATCTTCATGGCTAATCATAATTTTCACTCTTTGCTTTTCCAGGAAATCAAAAATCAGATGACTAGTCTTCACTTTGTGCAAAAAAGGAATCCTGATGGTAGAGCAGGTTACATGGGGAAAAACCAGACGCAAGAATGATACGACACTCCTTGCTAAATCAACGAAATGGAAATGAACCAGACTCAAAATGACAGAATTTTGTGTAAGACTGGCATCTCAACTCAGCGGGAAGAAAATGGATTACCTAGTAATGGCTAGCCATTTAATAAAGGTCGACTTCTGCTTTAGACCACACCCAAAGTAAAGATTTCAACATGAAAACAAAACTTTATAGTTCTAAAAGGTAAGGAAGTAATTAAAAATAATAATCTTGGAAGGTCTTTCTAAACAATGCATGAAAATATAAAAACCATAAAGAAAAATATGAAATAACTTGACTCTATAAAAGTTTATCATGGTGGGGAGGGTATAGCTCAGTGGTAGAGCATATGCTTAGTGTGCACGAGGTCCTGGGTTCAACCCCCGGTACCTCCATTAAAAAAAAATGTTATCATGAAAACTTAGGTATATAAAATACTAAATAATACTGAAAAGCAAAATAGGAGACAATATTTTTGGTACCTATGCAAGAGTTAATCACAAAATATTTATGGTGCTTATAAAAAATTTAATAATAAAGTATTTACAAATCAACAAGAAAAATAGTTAATAGAAAAGAGATTTAAAAAATGATCATCATGTTACATAAGAAGAAATGCAAAGGACCAGTAAGCCCATGAAAAATGTATTTAACCTCCCTGGGAAATGTCAAGAGCTGTGCATTTTGTAAACAACTGAAAGTTAATTTTTCTTGCAAAAAATCAGCAAAGATAAGAATAAAAATGCTGGCAGTGTTGCAGTGAAATTAGTACTTTTTTTTTTATATCACTTGTGGTCATGTAAATTGCTACAACTTATTTAGAGAGATATTTGGCAGAACAGAAGAAAAGCCTGAAAAGTTGACTTGTGCTATGATCCAGAAATTCTACTTGTAGGACAACCCGAAGGAAATAATCATGATTTTGTGCAAAGCTTTTGCTATTAGAATGTTGATCAAAGCATTTCTATGATAACTAGAAATTGGAAACAGCTTGTCTCTAACAAGAGGGGATTGTTAAAGCTACCATGGTGTGTGGTGTATGATAGAACTTCATGTGACCTTAACATGTTGTAGAAAAAAAATTACATTTCATGTCATGGAACAGTATTCACTACTATTTTGTTAAGAAAAAAGTAGCTTTCACATGGTAATATTATAAATTATATGTTATATATGCATAGAAAAAGATGGTGGAATAATATATATCATACATACCAAAATGTTAAAATACTTTTCTCTAGGTATGGGAATTATGGATGATTTTAAAATGTCCCTTTTTATTAGATTGTGTTTCTTTCAGAGTAAACATGCGTGACTCGGAGAACAAAAGATAAAGCCGTATATTTTGTTTCAAATATCACAGCTAGCAGAGTTTTATCCTGGACACGAAGTGGGATAATACGTAAGAAAGTCCCTAACACAGGATTAGAGAGATGAGGTGGCCTAGGTACCTGAGATCTGCATTTGAGTCTAAAAAGTTACCGTTTAGTCTAGGAACCTGCAAGCGTTCACTGTTAAAGATCGGCTTACCTAGTTGGTGGATTGTATGGGTCCCAACCTGCTCTGTTTTGTTTTGTAACTTGACTTTAGATTTGGATGGTTTGTACATCTCTCCCTAAGATGTCAGGCAAGGAACAGAGAGAAAAAAGAAATTCCCGCCTGTTCTTTTAAGATGATTTTGATCACATTCATTTTCTTCACTCTCCTGGGAAGCACACGGTTCTCTGTGAGCATCTTGGGTTCGCATCTGGGGCCATGGGAAATAAAGAGAAAAGAATCGGGATGGAAAAGAGTGCTCTGTAGGAAGGGTCCCTATAAGACTTGGAGTATAACACACTGCTTCTGTGGGATCATTGTGACAGAGCTTGACACTGAGGGGTGTGATTGTGTGTGTTTGTGTGCTCACAGGGTGTAATGCTAGTGGGTGGTAGTCCCTGTAGGTGAGCATTAGGAATTAGAAGAGAATTTTTCTTATGTCTGTGCCTTAGAGCGTTGGTGCATTGCTGGCATATGAAGGACACTGAAAGAGAGGGTAGTAAAAACAGTATGGAGGTGGAGATCATACTGTGACCATCAGGGCTTTTTTGTGCCTTATAAAATCCACGCCCCACCCCCACCCCCAACCAAGTCATAATTTGGGGGAACTTGTTGAGGGGGTTGGATATTCCATTAGAGCAAGCAGGATGGAAAAACTCAGCAAAATATGGATTGCTACTATGAATGTAACTTCCCTTTAAAACCCAGAGCTTAATTGCCCTGGGACTATGTGTGTTACATAGACAAGTGTTCGTTTCTATGATTAATTCAGCTGGCTAGAGCTTGGTACTAATGAGACCAAAGCTAAGGCTGTTGGCTCTGTCCCCACAGGAGCTGTTAGCAGCTCATGGCTCCAAAACTGAGGTGACACCCTTCACCCTTGCACATAGTGGGATTGGGTGAGAGAGTATGACGTCTGACTCGACTTCTAGTGCATTTCCAACACTCCCACCTTCCCCTCTAACACAATGTCTCTGCTCTCAGTGCGCTCACAGCTGGAAGTTTGTAACATGACAATGTAATCAATGACTTTGTCTCCAGAGCCACATTGTACTTACAAAGCAGAGGCTGCTTGCACTAGAGGCAGCATAGGTTGCCCTGTTACTCCTTCCAGTGCGTACACGGTGCTCCCCCAATCGACTTTGACTGACGGACAAGTACAGCTTGAAAGAATCCATGCCCAGGATACCCAGTTGCCCAAGAGTTCAACTAGGATCTTGCAAGAAACAAGCCTCCGATCTTTCCCCACTTTCTAAGAAGCAGTTGGCAATCTGTAGCATGTACATTTGGAAAGGAATCAAATTGGACATTTTGCCCGTGTCCCCAGATTCTCTGCCTTGAAGAGTCCCATCAGTTTAGACCAAAGCCTTTGTGCTCTGTTCTCTGGGACTTGTTTTAATGACCCCCACCTCCTCTCAATCTCTGTATTTATCAGGATTGTTTCAGTTGCAAGGAACTGAAATTCAACTCAGACCAGCTCTTTTTACAGATTCACGTACTTCGGAAGGGTACTAGGTTTGCTCACAGATTGTAAAGAGCCATAGGGATCAGAGGCTTAGAAATTGGAACTGCCTGGGCATATATATGTAGAAAACTCTAATTTGAAAAGATACAGGTGTCCCAGTGTTCACAGCAGAGCTGTTTATAATAGCTAAGACATGGGAGCAACCTAAATGTCCACCAACAGATAAATGGATAAAAAAGATGTGGTATATATACACAATGGAATACTACTCAGCCACAAAAAAGAACAAAATAATGCCATTTGCAGCAAAATAGATGAACCTAGAGACTATCATATTAAGTGAAGTAAGTAGACAGAGAAAGACAAATATCATAGGATATCACTTATATGTGGAATCTAAAAAAATGACACAAATGAACTTATTTACAAAACAGAACAGACTCATAGACATAAAAAACTCAGTTACCAAAAGAGACAGAGTGGGGAAGGGACAAATTGGGAGTTTGGGATTTGCAGACACACACTACTCTATACAAAATAGATAAACAACAAGGTCTTACTTTATAGCATAGGGAACTATATTCAATTTCTTATAATAACCTATAATGAAAAAGAATATGAAAAAGAATATACATATACATAACTGAATCACTCTGCTGTACACCTGAAACTAACACAACATTGTAAGTCAACTATACTTCAATTTAAAAAAAAGAAAAAAAAATTGGAACCAGAACACAGTCCAGCCAGAGACCTCTCCCTGTCTTCCTTCTCCCTCTCCGTGTGTTGGTGTCATCCTGCTGAAAGCTTCTCTCCACGTGGCAGGCACACTCTCCTGGCTTAGCAAACAGAGGGCAACTACCTTCTCCCGAATCTTTATGATAAGCTAAGAGAAGGGCTCTCCTGTGTCTCTCACATCGAACTCTGCAGGGTGAAAGTCCTAAGACTGGCCAGGTCTAGGTCATGCACCGTGTGTGCGTGCGTGCGTGCGTGCGTGCGTGCGTGCGTGTGTGTGTATCTGTGTGTCTGTGTGCGTGCACGTGCGCCTGAGCTGCCAAGG